GCCCAGCCGGAGATCCCCGCGCTCGACACGCCGCGGTCGAACGGGATGTCTCACACCGGCAAGGCGCCTCGGCTCCTGCTGGGGCGAGGGGGGGGCCTCCTTAGTTGGGGGAGGCGCCCTCCGTGTCTCTTTCCGAAGGGAGGTTGGCGCAGGAGTCCTGGAGAAGAAGGTGGTCCAGGAGGAGGCGACGAAGGACCAGGAGGAGGAGGAGCAGGAGGAGGAGGAGGACGACGAGGGGGGGGGGGAGGATGGGCGGAGAAGTAGGATGAGGAGGAGCAGGAGGAGGAGGAGGAGGTGGGAGAGGAGGAGTGTGGGGGAGGATGGGTGGGAAGGGGAGCACGAGGACCATGATGACAGATGAGGACGGAGGGTACGAGTATCATCAGCAGCAGAAAAGAGGGGTGGGATGGATGGAGGGAAGGGGGAGGACGGGTAGAGGAAGAGGAGGAGGAGGAAGAGAAGGAGGAGGAGGAGGACACGGAGAAGGGGAAGGAAGGGGAGGACTCTGATAATGAAGAGTATGGCGATGTACTTGTTGTTGTTGAACATTATTTCTTCTTAAGAATAATTATTGTTGGGACCCCTGGTGCACGACCCCCCCGCCGCGCCTAGGCCGCAGCCACATTTTCATCATTTTCGTGAGGAAGTCTCAGGCAAAACGATTGGTACCGGATCCGGTTGTTTTGTTGACGCTCGTTTTCCCTTGCAAAAAACATATAAAATGAAAATTCTTGTTCTTACTTGATCAAATTGCAAGAATCCCTTGCAAAAAATAAGGTAAAGTGGACATTCGTGCGCGCAAGACGAAATCCTTCCAAAACCTTAGGTTTCGTAACGATTTTAACATAAAAACATCAAAAACCCAATGGTTTTTTAAGAAAAAATTGTCAAAATGTCCTTCCGCGCGCGCTGTCCGAATCCTACAAAACCAATGGTTTTTCAACATTTATGTTACATGAGCTCGCGCGAGCTACTTTTTCTTGTTCTAACATAATCAAATTTCAATAATCCCTTGCAAAAAATAAGGTAAAGTGGACATTCGCGCGCGCAAGACGAAATCCTTCCAGAACCTTAGGTTTCGTAACGATTTCAACATAAAAACATCAAAAACCCAATGGTTTTTCAAAAAAAAATGTCCAAATTTCATCCCGCGCGCGCTGTCCGACTCCCACAAAACCAATGGTTTTTCAACATTTATGTTACATAAGCTCGCGCGAGCTACTTTTTCTTGTTCTTACATAATCAAATTTCAACATCCCTTGCAAAAAAAAGTAAAGTGGACATTCGCGCGCGCAAGACCAACAAAAAACACGACGATCTCAGGAACTTGCCCCAAAAATGTGACCAACTCCGCTCTCTCTGTCTCTCTCTCTGTCTGCTCTCTGTCTCTCTCTCTGTCTGTCTGTGTCATGTATTGTATGTCACAATTGCAGGATGCTGGGCACACGCGCGCCCCGAATAAGTGACCAAGTTCTGTGGGTGTGTACCCCACGCCAGTGTAGTAGCCACGGTCGTCCGCACGCCACGAAGTGAAGTGTCCCAACGTCATAGGGCGGGAAGCTGGGTTTGGGTGGTCGCGAAGAGTCGTTTGGATATTTGGTAGAGCTTGAACTGCCCCCCCACGAAGTGGGGGTATTGTCTCGCGTCGCATGAAAACCCTGGCACTGGTGAGAACACTGAGCGTTCGGGTAAAATGATTGTTGTTGTTGTTGTTGTTGTTGTTGTTGTTGCTGCTGTCGTTGCTGTTGTTGTTATTGCTAATGTTATTGATACTATTATTGTTGTTGTTGTTGTTGCTGTTATGGTTGTGTGTTTGCTGTGGTTGTTGTTGCTGTTGTCGTGTTTCCATTACACATAACAATAATTATTGTTGGTCCCCCCCATCCGATAATCATTATTTTTGCAATTGAAGTGCTTCCCCTGGGGCTCGCACCCTGTGGCTCAAACTGCGTTGTTGGCCCCCAAACTACAACAACAACAACTGCTCCCGCTTGATACTTCCTCAAAATGTATTCCCACATCGCGCTCTCGCGCGGGACTTCCTCACAATTTATTCCGGAATCGCGCTCTCGAGTGGGATTTCCTTGCAATTAATTCAGACGCCGCGGTCTCGACATTCAGGAGTCACGCTCTCGCTGTGGATTTCCTCACGTTTGATTTGGGAATCGAGCTGTCGCTCGAGACTCCCTCGCGATTCATGCAGGACGCACGCTTGAGCAACCCGCTTGCTCGTTCTGGCCGCCTGGGTCCTCCTTCCCGACCCGCCTGGTAGGGTCTACCCGCCCGATCTGCCCGTCTGGTTTTGCCACGTGTTTTCTGCTCCTAGCCCCTGCTCCATCCTCCTCCCTCCCCCTTGTCCTTCCTTCCATCCGTCCTCTCTTCCCCTACCTCAGGGGCTGCGCGAAATACACGTTGCAGGTAAGAAAGATACCCCCCACGGGGTTACGGTCGAGGACGAAGAGGGCGGGTATCGGGGGTTCGGGATATACGTGTTGAGAGGCACGCGAGCAGATAAGAACGATCAGTCTCAAATTATTGTTGTTGTTGCTGTTGTTGCTGTTGCTGTTACTGTTGTTGTTATTAATGTCGTTGTCGTTGTCGTCGTCGTCGTTGTCGTCGTCGTCGTTGTCGTCGTCGTCGTTGTTGGTACACCCTATATCATAAGATGGGGTTCTTGTTATTTCTTGGACGCCTCCTACTCCCTCTTCTTCTCCTCCCCCCTCTCGGACGTACTCATGCTCAGACTTACTCATACCCAGACGTACTCATGCACAGACTTACTCATACCCATACCTACTCATATCCATACCTACTCATACTCAGACTTACTCATACCCAGACGTACACATACACAGACTTACTCATACACAGACTTACTCATACCCATACTTATTCATACCCAGGCGTACTCATACACAGACTTAGTCATACACCGACTTACTCATACGCAGACCTACTCATACTCATACCTTCTCATGGTCTCACTTACCCAGGCCTACTCATACTCAGACATACTCATGGTGGGACTCCTTCATACCCAGACTTACTCATACCCAGACTCGTTCCCAGACCTGCTCATGCACAGACTTACTCATAGTCATACCTACACATACTCAGACCTTCTCCTAGTCTGAGTTACCCAACGCACGGACTGAGACCTACTCATATTCAGACCTAGTCATACTCAGACTCGCAAGGGGAGCCGCCAGGGGTGTTTTCACGGGCCCGTTCGCGGCCAGTTTGTGGGGATGTCTCAGGCGGTTTGCTCGTTTTCATGCCAACCATCCTTTGCTTTCAGAGCAGATTTTGAGGATGTCCCAGGCGGGGCGCTGGCTTCAGCACCCCTAAGGGGGGCCGCCAGGGGGTCTATCACGGGCCCGTTCGCGGCAAGTTTGTGGGGATGGCTCAGGCGGTTTGCTTGTTTCGGTGCCCAACATGGTCTGCGTCTACAGCAGATTTAAAAAGGATGTCTCAGGCGGGGCGCTGGTTTGAGCACTCCTAAGGGGAGCCGCCAGGGGGTATATCACGGGCCCGTTCGCGGCCAGTTTGTGGGGATGTCTCAGGCGGTTTGCCTGTCTGTTTCGGTGCCCAACGCCGTCTGCGATTACAGCAGATTGGGAGGATGTCACAGTCGGGGCGCTGGTTTCAGTGGTGGGTGCTTTCTGGCTGCACCGCCCAGGATGGGTATACTATATGTTCGGGTCGGACGCGCGCCTTCAAGGATACCATATAGTACTAGTATGTCTTTGTGCGTCCCGTTCTGAGCGGTTCAAGGTGTTCTCCCAGAGCTCGCATTATAGAGACCCGAACATCAACATTGCACAGGTGACGAGCGGCGGCCTGGCAAACACGATCTTGTGCGCAGATGGCGACTGCTCGCGTGCGAAGTTCTTGATGGGCCTGTTTTCCACCACCACCACCAGAAGTTGGAGGGGGGACGGGGGGGGGAGGAGGAGGAGGAGGAGGAGGAGGAGGAGGAGGAGGAGGAGGAGGAGGAGGAGGAGGTGGAGGAGGAGGAGGAGGAGGAGGAGGAGGAGGAGGAGGAGGTGGTGGAAGAGGAAGAGGGGGAGGAGGAGGACCCCCTCCCCCTCCTACCTATGGTGGTGGTGGTGGAAAGCAGGCCCGTCAGTTCTGCCATGCGCGCACGAACGACCTACAGGTCTGGAGACACCTGTTGGGCCGCTGTACCCGCCACCGGCAGTGACTGTCAGTGTGTGTGCTGCGGTGGAGGTTGGACTGGATCGGCCATCTATTATGATTGGTGCAAGAATCCGCATGCTTGTGCTGGCCAGGGAGGCGGCTTCACAGGCCCGTTCATTGTAACAGCCAGCAGAAGGGCAACCTAGCGTCTCTTGGGTTGAGCTTTTATTTATGAAGGGCTTGATGTGGGTGGGGTAGCCCTCAGCGGCGATTTGAATGTGCTCCTGCAGGATTTGGACAGAGAGCCCTGTTCTTCAGCATCACCGATCTTGGCTCGGCACCGTTGAGTGCTGGCCTGCCCCGCCACAGCTCGCAAACGGCCTTATGACGTATATCCAACGCGCCTTTGGTGAGCGCGCGTGGTGTAAATATATGCAATTGCGTGCTTCGCCTTTCCTCCCACCGAGACATGCACGGAAGCAGTAATGATGATGTGACGATTGAGAACTGGATGCTATTTTATAACAGGATTTGAGGCGGGTGGAGTAGCCCTCGATTGCGCTCCGATTGCTCCCCTGCAAAATTTGGACAGGGCCATCGTTGACTCAGACCTTTGGTGGACCATGTCGTGAATACGCTTAGGGCCATCGTTGACTCAGACCTTTGGTGCCAAGTTAAGCCACGCCATTCCATGGGGCATATCGCGCACGCGCACATGCCGAACACGCAAAAAGAACAATTGCCCGAAGTTAGCCCGAGAGGCTCCCTGGACGGCCATGGGGACGGCCCAAGAGGGCTTCAATAATGCCCGCGAGGACTCCCGATAGAGGGCTCCATGAGGGTGAATTCGAACTGACATTCAGCCTTTCCCGAACCATGGCCCCCGAGACCGCTAGCATATCCCCAGAGGCCCAAGCGACTGG